CCAAAAGGACAGTCCGACTTTCCATGATCCTACTCTATACAAGCATGTTGTTGCCGCCCTTCAATATCTCACTTTGACGAGGCCGGATATCGCATTTTTGATTAACAAAGTATTCCAGTTCATGCATTCTTCGACTGTAAATCATTGGTATGTCATGAAACACCTATTGATATATCTTCAGCACACCAAGATATGGTCTTTCATCATCTTTGTTTCTGCATATCTTCACCTACAGGCCTTCACCGATGCGGACTAGGCTGGCAGCATAGATGATTGTCAGTCCACAGGTGGTTTTGCAATTTTCTTAGGTGACAATTTAATTTCTTGGACCTCCAAAAAGCAGCGGACTGTGGTTTGTTCCTCGACAGAGTCAAAATATAAGGCATTGGCGGATGCGGCAACGAAATTGACTTGGATTCAATCTCTTCTATTTGAACTCGGAGTTCATCCTCCTAATGCCCCAACTGTCCGGTGTGATAATATTGGTGCAACTTATTATCTCATAATCTGATTTTTCATGTTCGGACGAAACATGTGGAAATAGATTATCATTTTGTTCGAGATAAGGTTGCTAGAAAGGATCTTCAACTCTGCTTAATTTCCACCAAAGATCATCCGACGGATGTCCTCACTAAGCCTTTACCTTCGGCTAGGTTTCAGTTTCTTTAGAGCCATCTTAAATTTGCAAGGGAAGTATTAGTGTATTCTAGTTCTTGTCGGTTACTATCTAGTTTGTATCTCCTATTAGTGTATGGTTAGGAGTTGTATTTTGTTATCTCAATTCCCCTAGATGTACGGCAACCAACAGTATATATATCTCATACATGAATACAATGAGATTCGAGAGTTCCCATCATTATCTAATTCCCGACAATCATTAATGCTAATACTAGCTACACTAGATAACTATTGAGTACATTTCTCTTAGATGCAAAATAAGGCATGCCATACAAGGCCTCCAAAATCCAATTACTTAATACTTAACAATAGACGAAGTGACAAAATATACCTTCCTCCCTTCACTCAGCCTTTGCCTAACTACCTGTGCAAGTGTTGGCTGCAAAATAACAAGGAAAAGTTAATTATACACTGATAACATTTCGTTTATTCTGCTCATAGTGGAGAAGGATTGGTATCTACCTTTACTGGCTGAAAGAACTCAACAATAACATTTTGAGCATTTGAATCCTCCGAAGAAGAGGTAACTCCTGAAGTTTCCACATTTGCACTAGAATGAGCGCTTACACCAGAACTACTAGGCGTCACACCTTGTCGCTTAGGAATCCTCCTTTGTGGTTCACTAGGTGATCTCCACACTCTCCAGGTAAAAACTATAGCAACTGCAAGACCTGCTATGGCCCCCACAGATCTTGAATCCTGCATTCACCGAATAGCTGTTACCAATTACCATCATTATAGAAAAAAGGAGAATATTTTGATAGATCCTCCTGGGATGAAGCAAATTGAAGGTTATACCACAACTTATATCAGAAAAGGTCTTTATTTGTAAGGTTCTGGATAAAACAGTTTATTGGATTGTGGAGAACACAAATTGCTAAGTTAACACCCACTGCTTTCCCCAACTCTGCAAGTGGTTTGAATGATTTGGCAACTCACACTTTAAAAAGATTGCTTTATAGCATCCTATATTAACTGCTCCCGAATGCTGCTAGATGTATGGATGATTTGGAGAGTCACACTTTTAGAAGTGTACCTTTCGAGCAATCCTAGACCAAGGTAGTTATTACAGTGTTATGAGCTATCTGATTAGAGGTTAACTCTTCATACCATTTGATTGGTGACTTGTTTAGTTTTTTTCCTTCAATATCTATCATTTTTCATTCATTCTGATGATGTTTAATCTGAGAATTGCAAAAGAGTTACACTTGACAGGAAAGCACAACCCAGAAAAAAGGAACATTGGGACGGTCCAGAAAAAAAATCAGGAAAAATAAATAGGGAGCCATCCAAATTGGCCTAAACCAAATCTCAAACAATGGAACTGAAGTTGTATACTTCTTTAATTGAAAATGGAAAGTCAAAATTAACCAAGCAGACTAGACATTTCTCCTTGAGAAACATCATCCTGTGGGTGACCTTCAGGCTTCAGGATATGGTAATTAACAGATAACGGAAACTAAAAGTTCTATTGCAATTTGCTAATGAGCAAACAAAGCTATATTAAGTATCAATGTATCATAGTCAAGAAAATAGTTGGAAATCATAACTTCACCCATCTCTTAACCTGTGAGACTCAACTCTAAACCAGCAATGTTATCAGATAAGCCCATGTTTCTCAACTTTTTATTTTACAACTGAGAGATTCCGGCACACGGTTCGAAACCTATGTTTCCAAACTTCTTCCCCTCACTTCTTTTCTCCTCCACCCTCAGCTTCTCTTACAACCATTTCTCGGCAGCTTAAACTGCTTACACTAGCTACTAGAATCTCAGTCTACGCTTCCAAATCAGCATAGGGGTCACTGTAATAGGCTAATAAACTTACCAGGATTAGAGTAGTGGAGAGGTTATGCATAAGGCTGTAGTGAGGATAAAGAGAGAACAGATTTGGCATTTGAAAGGACCGCTTAAACGTGTGACCATGTGAAGATGACCAAGAAACAGTTATGTGAGGACAGAGCAAACAAGAGAAAGAGAACTGGAGGACGAAAGACAATGGAGAGACCAATAGTGGCAGAGAAGAAGCACAGACTAAAGAAAATCAAATACCTATCAAATAATGAAATGCATTTTATTTTCAACACGAAAAAAGTTGCGAGAAGTTCTATTGGAACTACAACCAGAAATCACAACTTGGCAGTAAGAACAGAAGCAGTAATAGTACCAAGCATTGTTAGGGAACAACTTTTGACTAGATATTCAAGCTTAAACAATTTAGAAACTTGAGGACTAAGTTTTATCAAGATTTCAACAAAATTTTATTGCAAATACCATAATTTTAAGGAGACAAGAGATTGATTGCAATTATACAACTGTTAATATTACTCTTATGACAGTTGAGCTACGATTGTTATAGATATTTGATCAGAATCATCTCTACATCCTTACATAATTAAACCCTTGATAATCTCCATTCCCCAATTCAAGTGTCTCTCAATTCATATAATAAGCCAGACACACCCATGATACCGGTCCTAAATGCTACTTCTAAAATATATTTCAGTGACCTAGCTAGCACATTTCAGATAGAACTTTTCAAGTTTATAGAACATTAAGATAAGTAACTGGATTCCAAGTATTCAAACCTTACTTTTTGTCTAGTGGAAATGTGTCTCCTAAAATTGAAAACAACATCAAGAGGTCTAATTCTTATTTCAACATGATTAAAGCTGCCTAAGTACAGTAAGCATCTAGTAACAAGTTTTATATCCTGGTATAATTAGCAAAAGGTGCTAATTTCAATTATAACATCTAGCATCAACTTATAGTTCCCCTTACAAGAAATTGTGCTTAGCAAAGCCCTTGCTAGTAATCATGTGAGCTAATATAGTAATTTCCAGCACGAATTTTAATCTCCTATAACAACTCAAAACTTCAACTCATTTTTTTTCCGTAAACATGATGTATCAATTAAAATTGTTCAGTGCTTAATTCACAATTAAGAGATGTTAAAACTGGAGATTGGGAAAGAGAAAGAGAAATAACCAGTGTGTGGAAGAGATTAGAAATCTTCCCGGTCAAAAAAGCGCCGAATCGCTTGATGAGCTGAAGGAAATCGTCCTTGGAGTAATCACCCATGTTATTTAAAGTAATTATATAACAAATTCAGCAAATTTGGCTCCTCCACCTCCTCCTAGTTGTCGTCGTCGGTTGAGTTTCCGGTGACCGATGAATCGAGCTTTCAGCTTTTCCGGCGGTCTCCACCGTGACTTTGTAGTCCAAGTTTTTGATGGGAATAAATATGAAATTAACAAATAGGGACAGCGAAACGCAGCCTTCGAGGAGAAGGTGATATTTGCATTTAGCATCTTCTCATTTTAACTTTTTATTTATTTATTTTCCTTTGAAATAAATGAAAACAAATAAGGTGTCTTTCATATTTTTTTTGGAAAATGGATCAATTTTGCTCATAAATTGAATAATTCTACTTTTCTTTGAATATTTTTGCCAAATATTAGTACTCACATTATTAGGAAAAAGATTTTTTACTCAAAGAATCTTAAATATTTTTGCCAAATAATAGTACTCACATTATTAGGAAAAAATTTTTTTACTCAGAGAATCTTCAATTCAAAGATGATTTAATTAAACAGCAAATTGCCAAAATTAGGATATACAAAGTCTATCATTCTTTTTTTTTTCTATGACAAGGGAAACCCGCAGTCGCTACCCTTTGGGTGCTCACAGGGTAAAACCCTCGCTCCTATGCAATAGCTCGCAAACCACATAGGAGAGGTAACCCGCACTAGGCAAGCCTGGTGCGACGAGCTCGACCGAGAAGGCAAACCCCTTGCTTTCGCTGGCAAGGGGTTTCGAACTTGAGACCTCCAACATGGAAGTCCCAAGCTCAAATCACTGGGCCACCCCGAAGGGTTACAAAGTCTATCATTCTATAAGAATTTTGTTAATTGTAAAAGCATATACGAGACAATTCACTAATAACGTAACATGAATATAAATTAATGAAAAGGGTAATATATGATCAACCTTACCATTTGCAAATACTGTAAAAACTCTTATTGAAGTCTTAAAAAAAATCTTACAAATTAAATTAAACTGTAGTAATAAAAAGCATAAGTATGATCTTTTCGTCTCTCTTTGTAAAACCTGTATGTCCAATTACATGAATCACTCAATTGTGTTATGGTACAATAGCTTTGTCCTAATAATGCACAAAAACTCAAATCATTCTAAACGAGCAAGCAATTGCAAAATGACAATCACAACCAAGATAAGTTACACGAATATAGGAAGAGTAACATAGAGACAAGTAAGTATTTTTACATTATACTGAATAATCTCGTTAGAATTTATAGTTGTCACTGACTCGTGAATTCAATCTAGCAATTGTGATGGTGAAGAAGTATGATCAGTGTCTTCTACTGAAATTTCAGTGGCATCATCAACAGTACTAGTGGTACTGCTAATAACTGACTTTTCAATCTTGAGGGTTGGTCCATTGCTCAACATTTCCTTCTCCAAATACTGGCAATAACTTTCGAAAACTCGTGCACTCACATTAACTCCAAAATCTAGCAAGAAAAGTAGCTCCAACTCCAACTTGTTTAATTCTTCATTGCTTACTCCTCCAACTCGGGCATAAAATGCATTGTTGTAGTGTCTGAAACACATTTTAACAAAAAAAAAATATGAAGATACAAAGTGCTATATGAGTAACGAATTATCATATTATACAGAAAAAGATATTATTATACACTTTTCTGATAAATCGTATAATTTTACAATTTCATCAACTCAAACCAAAAGCTTGAAGTCCATTTCTTTATTACATGTTATTTCAATAAATATGTAGTTTTCACTTATAAGTTAACCTTGTGTAGTTCTAAAAAGGGATATAAGTCCTTTAGTCACTCCACATTCCCCTCCCCCAAACCCCACACCCACCCACCCCCCCACACACACACTATACAAGATGTTGTATACATAGTTATGTTATATTTCAGCACCTACATTAAATCTAAGATATTAAAATAAATAAATAATAAAATACAAAAGTAATTAATGATTGAAAATTAAGTAATGAATTTGATCTTTTGAAAGTTACAATAAAATTGTACGAAATGAAAGATTCTATATTTGAATTCACACCAAATATTAATTAACTTGACCCTCATACTCTGAATCAAGTCAAATAAATTCAAACAGGTTCAAATAATATTTATCGGACATGTCTAGAGAGAGCAAAGAAGTACTTACGCATCATCGAGCATTTTGGAAGCAACCATGATACTAGTAACAAGCAGCCTATGCACATTCAAAGAAACCAAGAGAGAATCTGGATACTTATGCCCCAATCTATCAATATACACATACCCCACCACAAAACAAGACGGGCTACAATTCGTATACTTGTATAACCTCTCCAAATATTTCGGTATACTTATATTCGGTGCTCGAACCCCATGAAACGCATTAAAATTCTTTCCTAATACCCTCTGTGGGTCGCCTTCCCCGTTGCTCATGAGTCCATTATCATGAGCAACCTGACGGCCCAACACTAGCAATTGATCATTTCGTGCTACGAGCTTTTCGAGCACGTAAGACAAGATGGTTAGGACCCGAGGGGTAGCTGCATCGGCAGCGCTCGGGTCCGGCCGGCGGTGGAATTCGTCGCTGCCGCCCTCGTCTAGCATCTAAATTAATGGAACTGATGTTGTGTTGATAGAAACATTTGAGTATAGTTTTTTTGTGTGTTTAATTGGAAGTTGAACGTTTGGTACTGGTCGCGCGTTATCTGGTTTGAGTTGTTTTCCATCGTGGGCTGTTGGACACGTGTCACTTAATAAGACAATACTTTAGTTATATGTTGGTTTCTTCTTTTTCAAAAAAAATTTCCTCTTATTTTTGGGGAAAATTGAAATTTTGGTTGAATTTCAATATTTCTCAAACTATGTCCACCCTTTAATAAACAGTCAAATGAAATTCAATTTGCCTTTTTTTTTTTTTTCCTTATAATTTTAAGTACGTGTTTGAACATAAAAATCACATGTATTTATTTTTTGTTATAAAATGAAGTTTTGTGATATGAAAAAAACAAACCTTGTAAAATTAGTCAAGTTTTTAAGCAAATTATTCACTAGCCAAGCTTTATAACATATAAAATCAAGAGCACACCATTAGTCTTATTTTACGGATAAGTTTAAGTAATCAAGAATTATATTAAATTTATCAAATATAAAACATTATTTTATTAAAAAATATGTTATGTATTTGCTGTGTTGAGCAATAATGTTAGTTTGAGAGAAAGTACTGCTATCATGTGATTTATGTGGGGTAACAAGGGCAATGGTGTATTATATATCAGATTTAGTGAGCTTTGATTGTATTGATACACTCAACAAATTTTTTATCAAAAAATCACCATCATTTGCTCGTTTATTGACAAATACACTTAATAGACCGCGGTCATAAGATTCATTGAAGAAAAAATACGATTGTATCAAAGTTGTGATTTCAATGGAACTGGTTGCAGTACTATAGGTCACATCATTATCGCCACAAAGTTGAATTCATCTAGTAGTTCTCTTTCCTCACTCAATATAACGAGTGACCTAAAGTTCTTACGTTTATGTAATAATTTATTTTATATATATTTTATACTCGTAATTTTCTTAAACACATCATAGTTATTATAATTTGATAATTATTATTTTTTCAATTGTCAATACAATATTTTTTTGTATATTTCATGACACAAATGTGCATATATAAATTATTGTACATTACATAATACCACAAATGTTTAGATCTTAGGGAAGTTCTTATTGATTATATTTTCAAAAAAAATTTAATTGAGTAAGTTGTTACACAAACTTATCAAAATTATTCTAGAAGTATTTAAAATAGAATTAAGAATTTCACCTATCCACTATGTCAAATAAATTATATCATTTTTTATTTGTATAATATTTCTTAATTTAATTAGTTTGAGCTTGAAATGTGTAAGGAGGCACCTCAAAGCAACGAAGAAATGTTAAACATGATTAATTTCAAATTGAAGTGAATTAGATAAATTAAAAAGTAGAATGTAACTGCAAATTTAATTGTCAACGAGTTTTCATAATTGATAAAAGATTGACAACAAACTATTAAAAAAAATTCAATTAACATTAACAATAAATACATAATTATCTATTTTATATATAATATAGAATAATTTTGAGGCCTTACTTTTCGGGGACCTAATTCTCTTGTTTACATTTGGTCTGGCTATTGAAATGCCTAATAGTAATTGTTAGTAAATTGGAAATAAAACGAAGAAAATAAATTATCATCAGGTTGAAATGAGAATATCTCGCTCACCGCAGTAAAACTTTTCACTGGTTCAATAATAATTTTCTTGACTTGTCTCTTCCAGGATACAATAGTACAATCACAATGTACAACTCAATTGGACAAGAATTGAGTCCAAAGCTCCACAAAAAGAACACATCCCTTTAGCTAAATAAAATTCCCTTTTTTCCGTTTAATTTTTATTAATTCTATATTTTTCTGTACTCAATATAATATAAGACAACCACTATTTATAAGTCAGAAATTCTTTCTTACCAAGAACAAAAAAAATATGGATAAATAAATGATGAAATTATTTCTGATAAGTTACATAAGTTATAATACATAAAGAGATAAATTAATAAGTGAAAATGTGAAATAGTGTGTTAGTCGTAAAAGTAGTTTCAAAGAATGGAATAGTTGACCATCATCACTTCTACCATTAAAGACAGTAAAGAAGGCATCAAATGACACTAAATATCCAGGACCTCTCTGCCAAGAGGATTTACTCTCCCAAAGGTTTATATATTTCTTTCTTGGGTTACTTTACATTTTAATTTTATACACCGACCATGTAAAAAAAAAATTACCTAGCATAGAAGGCAAGGCAAGTAACTTTCTATAATGTGTTAAATATATAATAGCAAGGGCAAAATTCTCGTAGCACTATCGGTAGATACTAACTAAATTATATGATAGTGGGCGTGAAAATTATGATAAAAAATAATTATTTGAGGTAATTTGAGCAACGACGAAAAGACCTATTGTAATGATCAATTTGGTGTGATCGCATCGTTACCTTAATATTTTCTTCTCATTTTGTCTTTATTATTTAAAAATTGCATTTCATCTTTTACCTTACCTTTCCATAGTAACTCTATGCGTACCCTATTTTTCTTTTAGGTCTATCATTCAAATTATGAATGTGTGACATTATGTAACGACGGAGAACGATACAATCAATCCAAACACTGTATTCATTAAAATAATAAAGTACAATGCAATACGATACATTATGAAACAATACATAACAACCATCCAAACAAAGTGTAAGGATCTTGGATTTCAAGGAGATGATATAATCTCTCAGAAGCTATTGACTTGAATTTCAACATTGAACTTGTTTACATCTTTATGTTCTGCAACTGATTGTCAAGGTTGTGCATTCTAGCCTGTCTCTCTGAATGGTGAATCATTATATTATGGGAGTTGGATTTGGATGTAGAAACTAGTAACCAAGTACAGACAAGGGAAAAAGCCAAGATGAGATATAATGAGGATAAGAAAACCAGAACACGATCATACATCACTCGACTAATAGTTTTTATTTCAAAAAGTCACTCAACTAATGGTAATTATCTCAGAAAGTCACTCAATTTTGTTTTGTAACAGAAAATTGAAGGGTAGTACTTTTCTCCAGCCTGATGATTTGATGATTATAAGACACACCTGTTTATTTACAGTTATCAAACTCTATACATATGTGATTTTTGTTCAATGTGATGGACCTGTTTTTTATTAGTTTACTTGAATTGGGATTTTTCTTCATGCTGATAAGATGAGTCAAAATTATTTGCCAAGAAAGGTCATTTCATGTGAATCATGATTTCTTCTTGAATTGGCTTTTCAAAATTATCATTTCATCTTTTATGACTTGCAGGTTCGGTAAGCAGGGCGGATCCACTCTTGGATCGACGTCCCTTAGTCGGTAAATTACATTTCTAAAGGTTAAATTTTGTGTTTATGTCTTCATTACCAATTTTCGATTCCTCTGCTTTGCCAAAACATTTCCAAAGTACCAATATTCCAATGCGATCTTATCTTAATAATTTTACGTTTTTAAAAAAAAAAAAATTGAAGTTAACAGTATAACAATATATTAATTTTATATATTTTTATTATTAATTAACGTAATACATATAAAGTATGTACTCTTAATTAATTTAAATTAAATGCATCATCCAATAATGGAATGAAACAAAAAAATCAAAACATAATTAAATATCAAATAAACAGGAAAAGTTCTTGCGGCGTCGTTCTGTAGTCCGTCGTCTCAGAATCTGCACTTCTCCTTCTGTTTCTCTGTTCTAAATCTGCAATCGTCGGCAAAATCAGCTCCGACGAAGTTCCGATTAGAAACCGCCTCGTTGTTTTCCGGCAAACGCTGCAAAGAAGGCATCTTATATGTCTCTGAGCCAAGAAATTAGCTCCGTGAACCGATCTATCGCATTTCCGGCAAAGAAAAGCATTATCAGCTTCACAATAAACAGAGGCCTCTGAACTACAGAGCGCACAAGAAATTGTAGATCTAATTATGGATTCTCCCTCTTTCAATGGCCCTTTGCAGTACGAAATTGAGGTAGTTTCTTCTTCACCCTCTCTTCCTCCACTACACATCTTTAATTTTTTGTAATTTGAAGAAAAATAGATATGTTATAATATGTGAAGGGAGGGGTTATTTATAGGAGTTTTTGAATTCACGGGATTTTTTTTATAATACATAAAGTACATCGTCCAACTTGAAGTGAATACAAGTAAATATTTAAATTTGTATAAAGCTCAATAAGGAGATATACATGTGTTACTTGGAAGTTGGAGTCATACATGATAATTTGTGTCATATCTGGCATCTTACGTTATTATATCACATAAGATGTGTGTGTCTACCTGCAGTGACGGAGCCAAAATTTTTAATAAGGGAGTTCAAAATCTGTAGAAATAGACACACGAAATAGACGAAGGGGGTTCGACATCTACTATATATACATAAAAAATTATTTTAACCATGCATAATTAATATAATTTTCATCCGAACCCCCTTAATACAAGGTGGCTCCGCCCCTGTCTACATGTTCAACTTCATACAAATTTAAGTGTCTATTTGTACAAATTCAAAATTAAAAAACATTACCACGAAGGTCAAGTTAAAAGATATAATTGTGTTTATGTCTTTTTTTTTTCTCATTTAGTATGACGAAATAATAGAAAATGTAATTATTCCTAATTTAAATTTGTGTTGGATAGTATTTGTTACAAGAAAAACTGTTTCCTACCAAAAAAAAAAAAAGGTGTTCATTCTCAAACTCAAATTTAAAATTTCTACTTAAAGAATGAACTAACCTTATTTATTTCATCACATGTTTTCCAAAACATAAAAAATGAAAGAACCTAATTTATTTCATCACATGTTTTTCAATGGAGGGTATCTTTGTTTGTTATTAAGCATGATGCTCATGGGAAAATAATAGTAATGTGGTTAGAAAGAAACCATTGTCACTGTAGGGCAGATGGGTCACTGTTGGAACAAATTTAGACTAGTTTTTCACATACTTTTTTGGGGGGTTATTTTGGTAGACTTAATTAAGTAAATTAAATACAAGCAACTAGTAATAGTTTTCATTGCAGCA